TAACTAACCCAGCCAACATCCGGTAACATACTTGGTTCCAGGCCCAAACTCCACTCCGAACTCATGAACCTCAGAAGTAATTTAACTTCCTGTCTGGAGAACATATAGAGATAGATGCATCAAGTTCTAGTCCAGAATACCAATGACCACAAACCTTTTCCTGTGTATTCTGCCAAAGTAAAACGTGACTTTGGGGGGCACAGGGCGGGGGGCAGGGGGAGAATGTCTGTACCAATTTCCTTGTTTGTACCAACATGAACAACAGAAAACCCCAATGGAAAAGCAACACCACCTTCGGTACTTAAAACCAAAGTCCTGGGTCTCCTTGGTTTCAACCTCTCTTTCCAGCCTTTGTGGATTTTCTCTGGCCTTGAATCCCAGATCTCCAGTCGGCTAGTCCCAAATTGTTTAGCCCACACCGCACATCTTCTAGCTCATACGTGTGCAATGATAATGGGTCAAGCACTTTACATGCACTGTCTCATGTAAACCTCTCAACAACTCCAGGGGGGACAGTGTTATGACCACCCTCATTTTACAGATTAGGAAACTAAAGTTGGAGACATGAAGTGACTTTCCAATGGAGTCCAGAGCTCAAATTGAAACGTCTGACTTCAAATCTTGGTTCCCTGATGACTACGCCATACAGCAAGGTTACAGAGGCTAACGCGTTACCAATGAACTTCTTGAAGTAAGTATACACAGGAATAAAATAAAAGTCTTTTGCAGCATAAAAGTAAGATGCGGGGCTGCGTTTACATCCGTTAAATGATGCATAATGTAATAAGGCCACATAAAACGGAGCAGGCAAAATAGGAAATTCACAATGAGCATATACATGACTATATGGGTTCCAGAAATGTTGCACTTTGAGAAATGTTTACTAAACATTGACTTAATGATGAAGAGAACAATTTCCCAGTTCAGAAGCCCTTATGTTATTAATACTACCCAGAACATAAATATTCTTTAAAGCAACACTGAAGTCAAATTCAGAAAGTGAGCCCTAATGTAAATGAGCGATAGCACAAAATTTTCCTCTCTGTCTCATAGCACCTGTGCATTTAGAAATCCACAATATAAAAAAGTACAAAAAAAAAAAAATAGCACAACTCCCAACATTATTCAAAATGTTAAAGAGACGACGCATGTGCATTTCCCTCAACAACATCATAAAACGAATCTTCACAGCTAAGAATCTCTTTCATATGTTCACCATGAGGAATTTTTTTTACTTGAAGTTTAAAGCTAACAGACAGAAAAAATAATAATAATAATAATGTCCCTCCCAAACTCTCATTCAAAACCTGACTCTCACAGAAAAGTCTAAAATAATTTGAAACTGCATTCCAATTTGAAAAACAGCACACAAGCACTTCTGAAATCTTGCCTGTAAAAATTTAGCGGTTCAACTTTAAAATTCACACTCAGTGGGGCGCCCGGGTGGCTCAGTCAGTTAAGCATCCGACTTCGGCTCGGGTCACGATCTCGAGATTCCTGGGTTCAAGCCCCAACGTAGGGCTCCGTGCGGAGGGCTCAGAGCCTGGAGCCTGCTCCCAATTCTGTGTCTCCCTCTCTCTCTGCCCCTCCCCTGCTTGTGCTCTTTCTCTCAAAAAAAATGAATAAACATTAAAAAGAAAATTTAAACTCACACTCAAAACCCAGGAAATCATGGCTTTGTTCCAGCTCAAACAATGGTTACATTTGAAAAGACGAGAACAGCAGGCTGCCCAGTTCTAGAGAGATGAGAACAGACTGAGCCCCTTGGAGAGGCACCACTGGTGGCCCTTACTGCTCCCACAAACAGAGGGCTGTGCCCTGTTCTTTCTAAACACTATTTCCCCTTTTCTTCTCACAGATGGTGCCTCCGTAGAGATTAAGCCCCACTGCACGATGAGGACAGAGGTGGAGTGGGCCTGACAACCGGCCTTTGCTGTCTCTTAAAAGTCAGGTAGGTGGCTCAGAGCCTGGAGCCTGTTTCCGATTCTGTGTCTCCCTCTCTCTCTGCCCCTCCCCCGTTCATGCTCTGTCTCTCTCTGTCCCAAAAATAAATAAA